AGACAAAGAGTAGAATGGTGGTTGCTGAGAAATGGGTGAAATGGCGAGACGTCAAAAGGTAAAACTTTCAGTTATAAGTAACCTTCAGGAAATCTGATGTACAGCATGGTCAACTATAGTTAACAATACTATACTGTATACTTGAAGTTACTTCCAAGAGTATGTTATGCACTAATCATAACAACAACAAAACAGTAATTATATGAGGTGAAGGATACATTAACTAAGCTTATTGTGTAAATATTTCCTATTATATATGTGTATCAAATGACCACCTTGCATACCTTAAACATACACACTGTTATATATCATTTATATTTCAATAAAGCTAGGGAAAAAATTGGTCTTAAAAAAGATAAAAACTACTCTCAATAGAGAAAGCAGTTAAATGATTTTTAGTACATTAACTTCTATTGCTTTTCTTTTTCTGTTATTGTTATGATAATCACTGTGCATGAATCAGAATATAAAAATTGATAAGGTATTAAAAATATGAATACATAGAAAAAAGGCTAATGTATATATCCATTAGGAAGAATTCCAATTGTTAAAATCTGTCACTATATATTGCATTTAAAATCTATGCTGAGTATTGTTTACTGCTTAGTTCCAGAACAACAGGGTGAACAGATCTGCCTAAACCACCAAGTATGCTAAGACATCCCTCTTAGAGGGCTTGTTGTTTTGTTGTTTAGTTTTCAAAAGCTTTTCCAGTCATACACTGTTTGCTACTTGGAAATATTTACTTAGTAACTTAGCACTTAAATCATTGGAAAATAAAGCCTTTATATGGAAAAATATGAAACACCTTGAAATGGACCAAAAAAATAGAATGCTTTGTTAAGCTGTCTCAGGGGTTATCTCTGCTTTTCATTTTCTTAATTATCTTACAATCCAGTAAACTGTAAAAAATTAAAAATAATGTAACTTATTCTTATCCATAGAAATATAGATTAATTGCAAATGGAATGCAATTAATTATTGTCCTGACAGACCCATATTCATTTCAGCATTCTTTTTCTATTTTTGTGTGATACTTTAAATCTTTTGAACCCACTGTAATGTTACTGGTTCCCTAGTTAATAAATTAAATAAAATATGTGGCACATGTTCATATTATATCTACATGGAAAAGTATAGTACTTTGAATTAAAATAATTTTAATTTACTATGCTATCCTGGGCAGTTAAAGAACTCCATACAGCCTTAATAAACAGAAATACAGAGTCTTGTCTATGTTTTCAAAGTAGATCAGCATACAGCATAGCCACAAAACTTAGAGCTATCTGTGAAGATGAAATACAGGGATACCTTGGCAATATTGCAGGTTTGGATCCAGACTACCATTATAAAGTGAATCATCATAATAAAGCAAGTCACACAAATTTTTTTGTTTCCCAGTGCATATAACAGTTGTTTACACTATACTGTAGTCTATTAAAAATGCAATAGAAGGTCTAAAATAAAAACAATTTACCCATTAATTTAAAAATACCTTATTACTAAAAAATGCTAACCATCATCTGAGCCTGCTGGAAAAATGACGCTGACAAACTTGCTCAACACAGGGTTGCCGCAGACTTTTAACTGGCATATAATGCAGTATCTGCAAAGCACAATAAAACAAGGCATGTACAGACATAGAAGTAAAAGTGCTCCTTTCCTGGTTCCCATGAGCCTCCATCTCCAACTATAGTAAAGATACTATTACCCATCTGAGAGGTTTATCTTGAGGACTAAGACAGTGTATATATAGCACCTAGCATAATATTTGGCACCAAGCAAGGCTCAAGATGTTAGTCACCTTTATGAATAAATGTTATTTATATTTTTAATATATCTTGTATTTTTAATATATCTTAGCACCCAATAGAGCTAAATAATTCCTGATTTAAAAACACCAACTTTTTAAAAATTACATCAAAGGCATTAGCACTGATGACTTTAAAAAAAAAATAGCTAAAATATGTTCAGCACTGTGAGGCAAGTTCAGTACTAAGAGCTTTATAATCGTTCTCTCAAGTGAACCTCCCACAGTATTCTTATAAAGCTAGCTTCTCATAAGGACTGAGACGTGGTGGCCCCATTTTACAGAAACTAACAAAATGAGCATTAAGAACATGGAAAGCAGTTTTAGTACAATTTAAACTTTGGAAATGGTACGTGTATTTTTGTGTCATTGAAAGTTTAAGAGGTAAAATACCTGAAAGCTTCATGTAAAAATCACTCCTACCCACTAAGCCAATGACTCATTAACTTAGTTTCGACTTATGTTAGGATTTTTGGTTGCTCCCATTCTTCCCAAATTCAGCTTTTCTTGGGATCAACAATAATGCTTCTTAAAAGTATTTTTCTTTGTATTCTCTCTACTTTTGAACTTCAGCTCCTTGCTACTAACAGTATATTTCCTTTAATTCTTAACACTGCTATACCTTAGGGGTTTAAGACTTGGTGATGTCTGCACAATTGGGTCCTCAGCTTTCTCTGAAGAAGAAGCAAGCAACCCAGAGACTGTCCCAGTGCTTGAGACACTTCCTTTAGTCATGCAAGCCTCCTTCTGGGATGCCTGCACTTCTGGCAGCGCAGAGCACAGCTGACATCTGGTGGGCATAAACAATAATTGCACCACTCCAACGGGATCCGAGATCCTGAACTCGGGTCTGTGACCCTGCACACAACAGGCTACAAACCTTTCCTCAGCCTTCCAGCATTTCGTCCCTAAAGCAAAAGCCAGGTCTGTAACAGTCTTAAATTTCCTGTTTCATTTAGCTTTCTAAATTTCAGTTACAAAAAAACTTTAATGTAATCACTGCAAAAATTTTTTAAGAGCCACTTATTTAAAAGAAAAATATAGCATTTTCATAGACTTTTTAAAAGGTGATTAAAATGTTGCTTCACAAAATATAAGAAATTTAGTTCTATGCCTACCTCTCTGTATATTCTTCTATCTATATGGATCCAAAGTTAATAAGATATAAACAGCATTCAAAAGCACTTCTCATCCATTCAACACACATTTACTAGGTGCTTACCATATCCCACGAAATATGTTAGATCTGGGATATAACCATGAATAAGACGTGGTTGGAATTCAAAGCATATGAACACGTTTATTTTAAATAAGAAGTACAGTACACGGTCATGTCATCACTCTGAATTTTTTTCCAATATCATCTAGGCCTCCTAGGACATTGTTTAATGTAGTATTACTAAAATCCGTATTTTCTAAAAACTCCTGGTTGTTTTGAGTGATTTCCCCAATCTTCTAGATATATCTAAGTATCACGTTTTATCCAAATTAAAAAGAAAAATAATTTGTCTCTCTGCTCTAGGGAGAGTGCTACATAATTTTTTTAAACATTTTGTCACTTCCTCCTGTGAAAACAATGGATATAGTAAAAATAGCACTGATTTTCAAGCCTGAATGACTGGGTTCTGATCTTGTCATGATACCTATTGTGCACCACTAACCACTTTAGCTCCTTGCTTCTAGAATGCTTCATCTGCCAAGACATAATAACAAAGCTGAACAGTGTTTTTATGAGAAAAGATTACATACAATAAATCGCTGAGACTACCAAAGTCCTTGGTATACAGTAGACACACAATTAACATTAACTCTTCTCCCCTTTCTATTACTTCTCCACAATTTTAGCTCTTTTATTTCACAAAAAGTTCTCAGTGCTCATTACAGAAGTTTATATAACATTACAACTTATATATTTCAATTAGAAGAAGGAATTACTTAATGTAGAAAAAGCATACTCTATGTAGAGGCAGTCTTCGCCTAGTAAAATAAATAGCAACTCATAATGTTTTATGGATTTATGACTCATGCTGAACTGAAACCAAAGGTATTCTTTATGTAATTAATTACCTTTTAGTTCCTCAATACTAAATTTGTTATTTTAGCACCTCCGTGCATAGCTCTAAAAACATTAATTGTTCTACTTTGAGTCAGTTGCAGTCAAAAGACAGCTTTCAATGTTTTATATGACTTGTTTCTACACCACCACATAGTCATGGAGGGGAAGAAATCTTAAAATGTTTCCCAGTTAAGTTCCAGGCAAAATACCACAAATATTCAAAACAGTTTATGGTTCATTGTCTAATTGAATTTATCCTTCTGGGCAACATGTATCTACTTATAACTAATTAAATGTTTTATTAATGCAGGTTAACATACAAAGAAATGTCAAGTTCCTCTTCACAGCAGCACTTTTTCAATTCTGAAAAATTTAGTCACTTCTGTTCTTTTCCAAGTTAAATCATTCCAGCTCCTTTAATTTTCTTCACAGAATATGCCTTAAATTTTTCCATTTTTAATGACCTATTTGAATTTATTGACATTTAAAGATTATAATTTCTAGGAAAAGTACTGGAGAGGCAGCTTAGTAGTAGAGCATCTTTTTCTAATTATGAGGAAAAATGGTGAATCTCATCCCATGAAAATGCTTGCAAGTTCATTTAACAGATGTTCTGAGTAAAACTAGATTCAACACATTTGGCACAAGGAACGTATGAGATTGCTGTAGAGATCTTACAATCATACCTTTACTAAATCAATTTAGTAAAGTGAATAAAGTACTTCAAGGCTATGTCTATTTCATTTACTCAACGACACATTCAATAAGCATTTTGCACTGAGTTGACGACATAAAAAAAAAAGAAAAAGAAAAAGATATAATTCCTTTCCTTAGGGCATTTATGGTGTCCTAGGAGAAAAATTACAGGTACAGGAAATTATATATTATTAGGGAAAAAAAGGAAAAGAAAATTCTAAGATAATAGAATAGAAACGAATTTTGTAATTGGAAAAATGAAGAACAGAGAAATGACGAAAGTCGAATCAAATTATTAAACGGCAAGCTTTCTAGGGTAAGCTCATTTTAAAAAAATGGGAAATTATTATAGGTTATATAGTCCATATCTATCTAATGTGCTCCACGTTATGATGAGAAAAAAAAAACGCATGAAGAAAAGCTGTGCTGATATTGAAATTATAAATCTTCCTGCTCATCTCTGCTCTCAAAATAAGTTAAATTTAATTCATTTCCCTCTTCCCAAATGAAAAGATTCTCATCTTCGAAAATATAAAATATTTTTAAATCACTTCTATTGCTAATATTTAAGGATGTCTCAACTTGGCCAAATAGGTAGGCTTGACCAAGCATTTCAAAAGAGAAATAATAGTTAATATTTTCACTTATTGGTTGGTTGAGATTTATCCTGGAGCTCTGGAATCTGTTGTTTAATAAGTTGTTATTCTCATCAACTACTTCAAAGATTTCATTTGTCTGATTGCTGGGGTCTTGTGTATTTGAGTTCACATCGCCCAGAACTAATGATGGGTGCAAGAAATTCACGCAAAACCTTTTCTTTAAATAAAATTGAAATTTCTTCAAATTATTTTTTTCCTCCAAGAATTTAATTCTTTTTATTTTTCTTCTTTTACTCAAGTCAAATGTGTTGAAATAAAGTCGATCAAATATATCATCAATTGCATTATCAATATATGCCTTTTTACTGCTTGCTTTATTGTTCTCATCTCCGAACATGTTTTTGTTTGACTGCAGTAAACATGGGTGTATTTTCTTCCATAAATGGAGGCCCAAGGAATTTTCAATATCAGAATCTTTACAATATGCAAATCCTCGGTCTTCCTCATTTATAGGTTGTATAGTAACTGCCAATATTGGACAATGTTGACCACAAATAGCATAGAGTTTATCCAAAGAGTCACCTTCCTGAAGGGCACCATGAATATTATTATTTCCAGGCAATGGCTGGTTTTTAATAGTATCATCAGAGACAGGATGGACTTTGTTGGCAGCAGTTGTAAAGCCATGAGTAACAGAAGTACATACTCTTTCTGATCTATGATTACCCTTCTCTGCATGGTGATTTGATATTCCCTCCTTGGCACAAGTTTTATTTTGAACATCTAACAAATCCTCATGAAAAGGCTCAGAATCAATACAATGAGAATCACTACAATTGAAATTGCATTTCAATTCAAGGGGTTGAGTCAGTTCCTCCAATTCTGAAGAGGATAGTTCGGCCATGTTTGGGCCTGGAGCCAAATTTCCAAAATGTGAATATGGTACCTCATTGCTATTATTATCAAGTAGAGTATCCACTGATGTGGTGTCTCCATTCCCACATATGCCAGAATTTTCAGGAGTTGATACTCTTAGCAAATGATTTTCTTTCAGGAGCCACTTGCCTTTATCAATCAGCACTCCTTCTTCTATATCTCTGAGGATTCTGTTATGATCATTTTGTTTTGTATTATGTTCTACATTTCCCCCATGATAATTGGCCCTTACGTCATTAAAGTCACATTTATCTTGTCTTTCCTCTTGAAATTTCTGCAAAACAGATGAACCACTAGATACTCCTCCAGAAGAGACAAATGACTGACTTTCAGAATCGTACAGACTTATTTTTCTAGCACATTGAAAGTCCATAGAATTGTAAGGAGAAACCTGAGATCTGTGTGTAGACCCAGGGAAAAAAGATGGTTTAACAATCTCCACTTTTCCATAAAGTTTTTCTATTGTCCTTTTAACAAGTCCTTTAATGTATTCTTTCTCTTGAGTAAACTCCTCCCTACCATCATTGGGGCCATCGCTGGATATTTTACATGGCTGATCATTCTTACTGTCTTGTCTATAGTCTGACCAACCAGAAGTCACTGGTCTTTTGAAGCAGTTTTTAAAATCAAGAGGGGACTCTGAACAACTTCCAATTTCCATGCTTTTCACCATCATTTTTACTCTCATTTTAGTTTCTACATCGTTGAGCTCCTTTTCAATATTTTTCTTAGAATCATAGCAAAACACTAAAGATGGTGGTGCTGTCAGCCTCCCATTGGTTGTCTCACAAATTACACTATTCTTTCTTTCTTCTGTAATGTTCCTGCTAGAGTGTTCTATTAATGCCAAATTTTGACTAGCCTCTAATTCTTTCTGGATCAATTCTTCAGTGGCTTGCTCTCCTGCATTTACATCTCTGTGAAAGAAATTAATGTCCTGCTTTTCTAATTCTTCAAAAGATTCCAATTCTGAAATGTTTCTTTCACTTGATGTCACACTGTTGGTTGATCCTGGTTCTTCAGAAGTCTTTGATTCCTCCTTATCAAAGGATGTATATGTATTTTTATCCTGAAATTTCTTTAATGAACAATTTTTAAACCCATCTAGAGAACTACGTTCCTTATCAAATTCTGGTTCATTTAAGAAAAAGCCACAGTGACTTAAATTGCTATTTTGGTGTGACCCCAGTATATTAAAGCCATCTTTATACCCAGGGTCTACCAAAATATTTAGGTCTTTCTGAACTTCAGCAATTTCTAACTCATCAGTGAATTCCAAATTATCAGTATATGTGTTTTCTTTGGAATTTAAAAAATCACTGGTATTGCAGACTTTGATGGGAACATAAGCCTCATCAGTTGGGCAAGCTGTCTCATAGGTATGGTTTTCCTCATGAGCACAAGCCTTATGGGAAGACACAGCCTCAGTAAGTGAACAGCCCTCTCCTGGAAAACAAGCCTTATTCATAGAGGTCTGATCCATGGTATAGCCATCACTAGAGGAAAAAATGTCACTAAGGTTACAAGACTCTTTTGGAGGATAAATCTTACTCACAGTGCACATCTCACATGGAGAGCAAGTCACCTTTGAAACAAAGACCTCAGGATCACAGTCCTCATTGGCAAAGTTGCTTCCATTTAAAGAGATTTCCTGTGTTTTTTCATTTTCAATGCACTTAGGAACACTCTGAATGTTGAGTGTGGAACAATTTGCAGAAAGACCTATTGGAACCATGTCTTGTTCTTTCTCAGTGAGTCCAAAGGGATTGGTAGTTGACTCCACTAAATTGGCAACAGCAGCCTTCAAGTCATCAGCTTCCTCTGTGATGGCAATGTGCTTTAGAACTTCCAACAATGCAAGTATTTCTGAAGTCCTGTTGGTAGTCTTGTGATAATCACCTTGACAGAAGCTATTCACACTTCCCCTTAGATTTAGCACCAGGAGCCAAGCTAGAAGGACACTAGTAGATGAATTATTTATTGGTGAAGGGAAAGAAACATCTACAAGTGAACCTGGCATTTGAACACCATTCTGAGTCTTGTGAATACTGGGAACTAAAGCTTGCAGTTGGCGAAGCAACAGAACTGGTAATAGGTCTTTTGGAGTGGCCTCTTCCATTGGATCTACTTGAATGGCAGCCTCTATACTTTGCCCTTTTGTAGCTAGGTTTATTTCTTGGTAAACAAGGCTTATCTCTGGTCCTGATTTTTCAACAGATACCTGACTTTTAGTATTATGATTATCAATAGCCGACTGTGACAAAGTACGACATTCATGTGGGGAAAGCAAGTAAGCATCATTCAAAGACTCAACTTGGTTCTCATAAAGATCTTTGTTAAGTTCTTCACTGCTATTTTTGTCAAAAGATTTACCTACTTTTTTACCTACCCTATCTCCTGTCAAATTGGCATTTTTAGTTACGTGCTTATTACTTTCCATGACAAAATTATTTCCTTTTTCAGAACTTGTACGGGAATTATTTCCCAGAAAACCATTTACCACACTTGTTTCCTTTTTGCATATTGGAGCTGATCTTCTAGAATGTAAAGTTGGATGTGGATTTATGTTCTCCAACCATCGCTGTACATAATTTTGAACTGAATGATGAGTAACATCCTCAGGAAAAACAGTTTTTTTCAAAAAAGCTAAAGAATTTGCCCTGGTTGTATCACGGTGTTTACCTACGGTAGTACCTGATTTCAATCTATCTCCTTTTTGTTTTTTCTGGCTTTTTAAAGTTATGTGTGAATTATTAACTAAACTTTTCTTTGCCATTCCTCTCAAATACCAAGATGTTATTTCTGCTTGAGCCTGTGGTCCACAAAAAGCATTGGGATTTTGCTCAAGAAAGTTAAACATATGAAATAAATTTTGATTTTCAAAAGTATTTTTGCAATATCTGAATTCATTATGGGGAAATACTTTAGCTCCTTGGCCATTTTCTCTTTTTGTAGTACCTCTTAAGCTTACTTTGTTTAGTGGTCTGGGTTTTCTTTTAGCTAAAAGTCCTTGAACCTTAGGATTTGGAATAGAATTTAATGTATTCCTATGAAAATTCTTGGAATTCATAGGATTGAAATTACTTTTAGAAAAACAATTTGTTTCAATTACCATATCACTTGAGTCTTCCTCACAAAGTAATTCTCCTTTAACAGGACTGTGCGAATCATGCAATATGGTTTCCCGTGCAATTCTACCTCTTGTGTTTATTCTCTTACTCTTACTGGGCATTCCTTTAGTTGCAATTCCCACATCCTGATGTCTATAATTTATCACTTGCTGCCGAGATTTCGTCTTCTTTTTGCTGGCAACAGATGACAAAATCTGCTTTTCATTTTCCGGAAGTTTTGTTAAACCACATTGAGCAAATTCATTAATTAGTCCATCAATTCTTGTGGTAATAGTAGAGGATCCTACTGAAGTTGGAATCTCAGAAATTGTTTTGTTAGTTCCAGAGCTGTTGCTTAAATAATGAGATGCATCTGCTAAAATAGGACAGAACCTATCATTGGTGTTACCGTAAGTTCTTAAGTTCTTGATTCTCGTTTTGTTGTCCAATGTTGTACTATCAACTGTATCTTCTTCCACAGTTAAGTTTTCTGATGTAGTCTGTGGCAAGCCATTATTATGGGACATTTCTAACATCTTCTGACTTGTAATTTCTATAACACCAGCACTTACTGCACTTGACTTGAGTTGCCTGCTTTCTTTTTTTCTTTCTAAAGCTGACTCTATCTGCTTATTGTTATCTATCTGAACAAGTACTGGTTTATTAGATACTGATGACATTTTACTGCAACAATGTGTGAACATGTGATACTCAGATTTGTTCTTCCCATCTTCCCTTTCTTCACTATAGGAAAACTGTCCAATCGTTTTCTCTTGAACTTTAGTTTCAGATACTAAAGTCACACTCCCTATCACAGATTTCTTTTGTCTCACTCTCCTTGGTCCAGGTGTAGGGGGCCTATAAAAATGATGCTTTGCTTGATCCTGAGTTCCCTGGATGATATCTGTGTCTACAGTAGCATTCTCCCAACCAGGAGAACTACAAGTTTCAGCCTCTTGTTCTGTCATTTGAATGCTTATCTCCTCTGCCAAACTGTCCTCTTGATTATTTTCTTTCTTCAGAGGTGAGACATCTGTAGACAATGAACATGCTGCAATCTTTAAACCAGATGACAGATCATCTGTTCTTCCTGGAAAACTGCTTATCTCACTCTTTTCATCATTATTAGAAAGAGCAGCTCTACTGACACTAGTTGTCCATTTTATGGTTTCCTCTTCTTTTATCTTGAATCGAACTTTCATCTCAACTGTCATGGTACCATCTTGATTAAAAATAATTGATTTCTCAATATCATCTTCTGAAGGATATATCAATAAATTCTGAGAATCCTTTTTTTCTAAGGCCAAGTAATTTTCAGGAGCAAAAGAATGGTCTGAGGAGCAATCATTAGTATGCATTTTGTCAGAAGAAGCAGAATAAATCTGAGACCTTGGGCTTGAAGGCACATGTGTGCTCACTTTCAAGATTTTAATAGTGAAAGATGTCCCGCATCAAATTATAACGTGAAAGAGCCATTATAGACATATATCCGATAGAAAAGGCAGCAAAGAAAGAAAAGAAAAAAGTAAATAATTAGTATGAAAAATACAGTAGTTTTTGATTTCATAGTAAGATGTTATTAATATGTTTCTCACCTCTATGTATTCAGCAATTATCTGAGTTCACTGTAATATCTGGTACATTTCTACAAACTATTCTTTAAAAAAGAATTTATAATTCTCCTTCAATAAGAAGTCACAGAATTTTAATTGAGTTTAATAAGGCAATTTTAATAAGTATAAAACAAATTGCTAACAATTCTAGCAAAAATATTTTTGTGGTGTTTAATTCTGTTGTTTTATTTTGTTTGCCAGCACCAAAATTGGAGTCTAACCAAGTGCTGCTCACCTATACAAAGCAAGTAATAATTTACAGTGGTATTTATTTTCCCATCTGTGCATATTCTAGAGAGACATCTATAGTATTAGGAAAGCTAAAACATTTTAATAATTCAAAGGCTATATTAATCAAATAATAATTATTAATTTATCATTCACTTTGTATAATCAATACATGTGATTTAATATAGGTAGGGCACAAAAGAGAACAGAGCTAGACTTAAGGTCCAGCCATCTAGTTATTATAATGTTTGTCATTAGAGAGAACCTTGGCACTCATGCTTCTTACATTAAAATTCCTATTAGTGATTTGCATAGCTTTTCATATGCTTGCCATCAATTAAATACCTTTAACTTTTCAAATATTTTCTCTTATTTCTCTGTACTTTTACCAAAACTGTAAATGAGAATGCCTCACTCATAATTTTTTAAAGTAAAACTTAAGGAAGCCCTTAGATTCCCTGAAACCATCAAAAACCATACTTTGCAACCTATATCAAACACAAACTAATGAAATAATTTTAGTACAATGACCAAGCTAAAATAATACTAACATATGCATAACAGATATTCAGCAGCTAATGCCTACGAAACAGAAGCATTATAATTATCTATTGAGTATATCCGTAAAATAACTAAATGACAACAAATAATAGATGAATTTCACCCACTTTAGTAATGAGTAATACTACTTAAAAGGTGTATTATTCCATGTCTAAATAAAATAAAAATTGAAATTTAAGTATACATGGCAATCAATACTTTAGCACAAAGCTAAAGTACTGAGCACAATGAATAATGAGATTAGCCATGCCTGCACAGGGAATTTATAGCCTATGCCTTCCTCCTCCCCATCCAAAAGATAATGCCGCACTGTAGAGCATTTTCTAAGAAATTATCAACCTATTGTTTACCAGCATGAATTGGCTACATGAACCTTTTCTTTAAATAAATAAAAAGTGGATTTAAGGGCCTGGGGTTTTTACTGGAATAACTTCAGTAAGCAGAGCACGTATGTAGAGATTTTTAAAAATACAATCACTCACCTACTGATTTCAGCTATAATACTGCAAAATACTATTTAGAGAAAACTACAACTACCAGAGATGTTACTTACATATTCCATAGAACTACTCTCCAAATCAATAAATGCTGGCATTTTGATTTTTTATCTAGGTATTTTATGGGGGAGGGGGGGAGAAACTATACCTCATCAATTCAAACATATGTATCTCTTGATTGATTTGGAAAAACCTAAAAAGAATTATGAGATAATCCCTATGATTCTTTCCAACTATAAATATAACCAATTTCAGTTTGAAATATTTTCGATCCCCTCATTTCTCTTCTATGAAGGCAATTTGTCATTTAACATTTAAGCATGGATTTTTTTGTTGTTGATGTAAAAAAAAAATCTCTGTGCTAACTATAAAGGCTATATATTTAAGTGACTTACTCTTTCTGCTTTCTGTCCTAGTATTTCCCTTGGAGTACACGCGACGAGAGATCCCTGGTAATCTAGTAGGAAGCGAGTACTTTTGGATGTCATAATTTCCTGGTTTAAATGGCTCCCTTCCTGCTGCCACCACAGCTCCAGAGCTCAGAATCACAGCTTGGAGACTGGGAACCTAGAAGAAAACAAAGAGTTATGGTCCTTATATAAGCAACATGAACTTTTCTTCTTTACATATGGTAATTTTATAATTGATTGAATCAATTCAACAACCTCCTGGGCTAGAAAGAAATAATCACTAAGCTTTTGTTAGGCACGAATGATGTATGCAAAATAACAAAATATCAAAGCATGTGGGTCAGGTTAAACTAACACTTTTATTGAGCCAAGTTACTAGCTGGAAAGAGACAGACGGACGGGTCTTCTGTCAAACTAAAGAAATATTTAAAAGGTATGCACTACTGGTTCTGCCTTTCCCACCAAAGTATCCAGCTGTAGCCAAACGTCTTCCCTCTGCCAGATAACAAAGGTTCTGGTGGAGACACCAGGACCAGGAAAGTGAGCTCTTGTACTGGCAGCTGCAAGTGAAACTCTCCCCTGCAGCAGGGATCCCAGGAAAATGTTTCCTTTACCTAACAGAATATCACTTCTGGCCCTCCTTTTAAAGAAATATTGTCGAGATCAGAATCTATGTCAACACATTATATAACTTAGTGCTCAGGGAACAGAGCATGGGAGAAAAAAGAGGTCCTCGTGGTGGATGTCTCCTCAGATTCTGACTCAAGAACAAAGGAACCATCTACCCAGATGAACCAGCAACTTCCCAGGAGGGTAGTAACACAAAAGCACAAGCAGGCTTGTGTGCGCAAAGCCTTCCTACCCCAGGAGCACTGTCCTGCAGGACTCCAGCTCAGACATGAGGAGCTTCCAGAATGCTCACCTTCCTCCCGTCTGTGGCATACAGCTTGGTCACGCGGAACTGCATGACCTCTGTCAGGTGCTGCAGAAAGGCCTCAAAACTCTGGGTGACTCTCCTGCTCAGAAGGACCACGCTCCTTGCCTTTGGGTCGCCATTCCTGAAAACCACAAGCCTCCGCGGGGCGCACAGCATGCCGGGAGCAGCGGCCACGGGGATGCGGTGCGCGTGTGCACTAATGGCCCGGCTGCTGTGCCAGGGCCTCGGGCGCTGACGGGCCTTGTCCAGGTCCACCGGCTGTACCTTCCTGCCGTGGGAGCACAGGTACGACTCACCGTCCTCCAGCTCCTCCAAGCGCGTGATGCTGTGTCTTCCCCGAGGGGTGCTGATATTCCTCACCCCAAAAGGTAGAGGAACCTTCCTTGACAAATTATCCAGCAGAGCATCAAATGTCTTAAAGGAACGAGGGTTAACCACCACCCTGACCCCTCCAAATTGCGGGTCTCCGCTCTTGTAGAAGCTGATCCTTTTGGCCACAACGGGATGAGTGACTCTCATATTGCGAAGGGAAGGAACATGACCTTCAGAAGAACGATGAATCATGGAAAAACTAGTGGAAGGAGTTTCGCTCATTTTGGCAGAGACCTAGAAAGTGAAGAAGATTATTTATCTCCAGAATAACAGCACCATAAAGAATGCACGATGCGAAGCTATCGCTAGGATTTCATTCATTCATTTATTCATTCATTATACCTGCCTATTTTGAAAGATAATTTTAAGGAGCTTACAATAAAAAGACATAAATGAAACAGTTAAATAAGGGTTAAAAACAACCTAAAGACACTGATAAGTGACTAGGTCAATAAATTATACACACACACACACACACACACACACACATCCATGTAATTGATAGCTGTGCAACCATTAAATATGGCTTTATAGGTCCATATTTATTGGCATAAAAAATGGCCATGACTTATTACTAAGTGAAAAAGCAGTTTGTCAAAATACATATGTTATGCTATTACCAATGTATTCAGTTGGCCCCTGTATCCATGGATTCAACTATGAACGGAAAATATTTGAAAAAGTAATTTTACTTTTTTGCTGACATACTATGTAGTTAGGCCGACAATGATTGCATCTGTACTGAACATATATATAACTGAGGTCTTACTTGTACTTATTTATTATACAAGTGGAAAAAGTCCAAAAGTATATACAATTTAGTATTCATGGTGGTTATCTGTGGATTGCAGAGCTAGAGATAATATTTGTGTTTTTTAATACATTGCTAAATTTTATGAACCTTTAAAATTAACGAATATTATTGAACAATTAACAAATATTACTGAACAATTGTAGAAAATGCAGGTAAATTATTTAATGTTACTTGGGGAAACCACTAAAATATTTTTTGAATGAATGACAACATTATTATGGGCTGCTGAAAATGGTGCAATCTGAGTACTGCTCACACTAGTGGTTCTAAAATGAAAACTTCAGTAGGGAATTTCAGCCAATCGCTGAGGTTTGCCTCTTCCACTTTCCCAGTAAAGCTAGAGTTTCACTGTTAAGTAGGCATCTTGAGGAAGGGTTTCAGTGGTTCTGGACTAGTCTTTCATTTGTAGCATATCATGGTTATTTTCTATTGCTTTAAATCAATGTAATTATTAGTGTCTTTTGACACAGTAAGAATGCCCTGCAGCCTTGAAGACAAACTAAATTGAACAAACTAAATAAATGTGATCAGTATTACAGAGATAAAAAAAAGCATTTTTTTCATTATAAATTAGCTATAATTCTGGCCCAAATCAGAATTATGTTTTCAAGCTAAATATTTTCAAGCTGTTATCTAAGCTTCTTTATATATCTCCAATATAATTTTGTAAATTATACTTATATATAGGAAGATGAATTCAAAGATCAGCCTAGAAATTAGATATGTCTCTCCTTCTCCCTCCCCAAAGAGTTTAAAGTAATTATAGTTCTTAAGACAATAAAAGCAGCTGTACTAGGCATGCGCGTCAGAAGCTGGGGAATCCAGCTTTGCAATGGAGTCAGCAAAACTGCAACCTCTTCTCGTCCTCGGGCTGATAAACCATGGTTTGACCTTGGGGACTCTGCTTAATCTCTGCGTCCTCACCAACTAGAAGAGAGTTGAATTCCTTCAGTATTTAAATAAAAGGCTTCAGAATACTTTGCCTTCAAATACTTTTTAGGTTAGTTAATTTACATATTTGAAAATATTTTACATGAATGGTGTTTGAGATACATTTTTCACCTAACTTTGGAAAATTATGTTTAACTATACATAAGTGCATAGTGGGGCTTTTAATTTCAATTGTTTTCTGCCTGGATCTCACTATTTGGAGAGCTGTTGACCTGGTGATCATGCTGGGAACACAGTTTTGTGAGCTGATAAGCTAAGGGTTTTTGTTTGTTTGTTTGTTTGTTTGTTTGTTTGTTTGTTTGTGAAAGTGACTAAAATAGAGTAAGAAGATTTTGTGCTGGGACCAGAATGGAGAACATGAAAGATAAGGATTATTGGAGGGAAAAGGTGGCCCCCCATTGTCCCTAGCCCAGCCCTGAGCACTGGTTTTGAGCCAATGCATAAAGGCAAGAAGTTGAAAGTTCCATGCCCTGGGAAGATGCCAGATGCCCAGCAGTGAAGGAGTATTTGCAGAGAAAGTAGCTGCAGCAGGGTGTTTGCCAGAACCCTGATAAGGAGGCAGTAGCAAAAACAACAAAAATACAAATTTGTATGGTCCTCATTGTGTGTAAGAGGATCTCTGGAAACTCTTAGAATCACTGGGGGAAGCTTTAGAGAATGTTGAGATTTTTGCATACATGCAGGTGAGGTTTAAGAGTCTATGGTAAGGTGAACATTGTATACTATACATTGTATACCATGACAAAGATTCAGTATTATCATTAAGTAAAAAGATCAATGTGCATACAGTGTACAATATCGTCATTGAGGAAGAGAGTGCAAGCCAAATTCCTTCCAGAGGAAGTGTTTCAGACTTTGACTTAATATAATCATATGTTTCTTTTACAGTGACCATGGGACATTCACAGAGTAATTCAATAACACAATTGAGGAAGAGTCAGGGTACCATGAGAATATCAAGGAGGGATGTGTAGCCCAGCCTAAGGGATTGGGGCTAAGGGTTGGAAGAGATAGCAGTATCCAGAGGAAAGCCTATGTGAAGCTGAGATGCCGAAGGCAAAGAGTGGTGGAGATGTCCTCCAGTAAGAAGACAGGAATTAGGGAGGATCTCCCAGCACACAGGAGCAAGACCAGGCATATGAAACAGTGTCCCCTATCATAAAACAGAGCTACCAGCCCTCCACATCTTTTAGTTACCCTGACTCAATTATGCACCTTTCTTAATCAGCTTTAAAAATTAATCAAATTTGGATGGAAATTTAAAAATGCTTTTTACATATGTTTTAAATAATAAGGTTTATTCTCTTTCCTCTGAAACTGGGATAAGGCAGTAATATACTTAGGGGCTACCTGAGGAACAAACAAACTGAGTAGCCAAAAGCAGTCTAATTCTCTCAGCAGGTTAGGCAGAAGGAGGAGAAGTAGAGGTAGAAAGAGGTAACAAGAGAAACCACAGAATCTTAGGGCTCATCACTTTCCTCCCTATCGACTTCCCTAAAAGTAGCAAAGGACCTTCTTAACAAAATCTTTTGCCTCCGGCCCAAATTATTTTAAAATCTCCTTCTAAAGACTCAGGGGCTTGCTAACAATATCTTCTCTTCTTTTCTGCATTCTCTTCATTACCTTAAGTCAGACCATGGAACTATCATGAATACTTGCATTGCTTTTTAAGATTAAGCAGATTTTTTAACATCCTTCGGTTCCCTAGGTTTAACCATAGTTATCTTTATCTGTGTCATCATCGGTCTCAATTATCTGTGCTGCTCAGAACTAAATAGTCTACGAAGAGAGTTGTACCTTCTCTCCATCACTCACTTGACAAAACAGATGACAGACTTACAAAATTAACATGCATCATTTCACTAATTATATTTTAAATTTAATTTCTTCCATGAAGTAGGAATTCAGGCAATTCAGAAAGAAGAATGACATAGAAAACGAAATAAGAAAAATGTTATATTCATGTTAGTTCTGTGGCAATTCAGAAATTATTGTTGTAAGAAAAATTAGTTTGTTTCATATTATCATAATTCTACACAGTGGGATTGGGGGTGAGGTTCAGAAAGGCATTACACCAGTTGTCTCCTATGGTAATCACAGCATTGTTGAATTACAAGCAGCTTTCTTTTTCATTAATGTAGTGCATAGATTTATCTAATCATTAAGTAATGCTTTTGTAATCAGAAAAAAACTGTACTCATATTTGAATACACTAGAATTTCTTGATTTCTTGACACTAAAGTTTCCTCCTACTTCAATATCAGCATATTATGAAGATTTCTGGCATATTTGGGTAAAAGATAATAATTATTAGCAATATTTCTTCTTTTTCTAATGGTTAAAGATAGAACACAAATATGTAATCCAGATTTAAACTGAAAAATTAAGGGCAACTAGCTAAATGTAGATTATTTTCCAAATAAGGATTTCAAATAATTTTGTACTTACCAGAAGTTGAAACTTCCTTATTTGTTAAAAAAAATGCTTGAAGTTGTTTGGATAATTCGCATAAAAGTTACTGGTTATATAACCTGCTCGCTTCTTGCAAAGAAACTAATGTCTTTGGATTTATGGTTAGCATATCCACCCAAGGATTGAGTATAGCCAATTAATTTAATCCAAGGTGATGCTAATTACCAGACAGGATTCACCTTAAAGGGAACCACAGCCAGAAACAAACCAGTTCCTAGCATGCTCCACAGTTCTGAAATCCTATTTAGAGTTTCTCTTGCATTATCTTGCTTACCTAGTGTCATTCTCAGGAGAAAACATTTCTTTAATTCATAAGCATTCCCAAACATCCTTAACTTCTCATTTATTTATGTTAAAGAGAAAAAGTCATTATGCTGCCAAAAGTGAAATAGTTTGACATTTTATCATTCTTTGATAAGTAATTCTGAGTCAATATTTGCTCATGTTAGTCATTAAGAAAGAAAAGGACCTAAGCCTTTTTGTTTTTAAGTACTCCTATCACCAAATCAGTGTAGTTGTAATGAAAATGGCTAGAATTGTAAACAATTTGGCTACTCAGCATAACATAAGAGGAATGAGAGAGGCACAACACAATGAAATCAATTAATTTTATGCTTCTGCATACACAACACTCTTCTACTATTTTGCTTAATCAAGATGAGATTTGAATATGTTTCAGGACTTTGTCACACATGCAGTCCCCAGATGACATCTGCTGCCGCTAATGGCAACCTGTACTCTAATCTGTTTGAAGATGCCTTAGCTAATCGGATTTCTTACCATGTTTCCTGCCTCAGCTCAAACCATAAAAACAAGGTAAGGGGTCCTTCAGGAAGGAAAGATCAGGTTCAAACATGTGCTCCCAAAAGTTGTCTCCAAACAGATCACAAAAGGGAAAAGATTATAAAATTGTACAATTTGCCTCATAAATGCTGATTTTGTTATCAAGCCACCTACTAAAAAGTAAAAAATAAATAAATAAATA